ATGAGTGGGGCGTTTGATTCGGGATTAAATACCGCGTTCTTGGCTACAGGTCGTGGCAAACTTCCGTACAGACCCGGCTAATGGAACCAAAACGGAACCCTTGCGCACACAACGGTACGGCGGTGGCGACCTGTAGCGCGGATCAACCCAGACGCACGCTTCCCTTCCCTTTTCTGTCCGCTGTCGAATTGTGCGTTTGAGTTGCGTGCCATGCAAACAAGCACCTGGGAGTTTGCATGGCCTCTGTTGCTTGCGTGCTGTTACGTGCTGTGGGCCGTGTTGGGCGCTGGAGGAGCACGTAAGGCATGCTATGCACTCGGATGTTTTGGAAAGGCAGATAGCCATCCCATTGCACGTACACAACTACTACCCTGCCTTGCACGTTTCGTAGATGCGCAGCGCATACTACGAGAGAAAGGGAGAGTAACAGCGCTCATTAGCAAGCCGTTGCGTAACAATGCGCATTAAACCCGCTTCAACATATTATAACGGTAAGTATGCTCTCGGTCTTCCCTGTGCAATTAACATAAGATCCATATCAGAAGTACCGTGAAATTCACGGCGGGCCGGCATTAGTAATATAAGATAGATCACATCAGCTTTGGAGGCGTAAACCCACCTATTATTATTCCGTAAGTGAGTAAATACAAGCTCTAATTTATTATACCTCTAACTTATTATTTGAGTCCTGAGCAGACGCCAACGCCGTGTGACGGTGTCCATCCAGCGTCGCGAAAAAAAGCACCAGCAGGCGTGCTGCACGACGCTGGAGTAATCCCGCTGACTAATAACGCATACAGAAAATAATGAGCCGTTGTTGCCTGCAACGATGTTCACGACAGTTTGGGTCACCCCGAACCCAGCCGCATCCGCCAGCGCTTCGACTGGCTTCGAGGGCACCCTTCAACGCGGCGAGGACCCTGTGCAGAAGTACACAAGGAGTAGACCCTCCAGAGGTGGGTTTCTCGCAGGACGTGCGGCTGCGACCATGCACATGATATGCTGTACTTCAGGCCAATAACTCTTCTTCCGCACGCTTGTCTTCCCGGCAACCTTCCAGCGCCCAAACCGGCAAGTGCCTGCCGGCGAAGTTCCGGAGGCTGGCAAGACCGATCAGACGCCTTATCCGGATATTCCTGGCGACCGCACAAATACAGCTGACGTTGTTGGCACCGACGACCATGCTCATGGCGGCGCAGCAGTAACAACTGCGGTCGCTGCTGCTCCTGCTACTGCCGGAGAAGCTGCTGCTGCTGCGGCCCCAGCTACCGCCTCTGCTGGTGACGCACCTGCTCAAGCGGCGGATGCGCAGCAAGCGTCGATGACGCGCGTGCTCAGTTCACTAGAAGCCCTCGGGACAGACAGCAAGGTCATTCAAGAGCTGCTGCGGGCGTTGGATGAGGTGAGGTGGGAGCGGGATCCACCGTCTGTGCTGGACGGGCTAAGATGTCTGCATATGAACGTGGAAGATCCAAGCCCGTGTATGCTTGCTTGCTGGCTGGCTGGCTGGTGTATTTACTCCTGTCCTACGGTTGGTTTGTGTTTCCGAGACGCAGGCGCAGTCATTCCGGCACACGGACGTGCACCAGGGGCTTGAGAAGCTTATGATGTTCAACCAATACACAGTGAGCGGGGGTGGGCCTTCCCTCATGCATGCATGCCTTGTCTAGGTGACCTCCCAGCAAGCCCGCAACTCATGCAGCGTGCCCGCATCCATGCATGCACACTGTGGCGCAACTGGCGCCGCCGGCAAATAGTGGCAAGCACCCATTCCCTGACGTGCTACCTCCAATCGTTTAGCCCCGAACGCGCTGCCCGGCATCCCTCGTGCGATTGCGCTCCGTGCTGGTCACGCATGCATACATGTTCGAATGTTCGCTCTTCACAGATGTCCAACCAGGCCCGCCGCATCGCCGCCCTGGAGCAGCAGGTACGGCATGGATACGATGGGGTACATAGGGAGTCATGGCTTGACTCCGCATGGGATGCAGGCATGGATGCAGGCATGCCGGTATGCTCGTGTGTGCGTGTATATATGCCCGTATGCATCAAGCATATTTCTATACGTGTTCAGCCTACCAGTCAGCTGGTGTGGCAGGGCCAGCAGGGCTATAGCCACGGACTGGCATGTATCCTTGCTGCTGTAGGAGCGACGACCAATACGTGCACTGTTAGGGGCCATAATGCCACGCGTTACTAAGCATCTGAGACGACTTTGAGACGAACTCTACGTCGCCGTGCCACTTGAAAGCGCAAGTATGGCCCTGCTGCTCTTTGCATGCATGCAGCTTGAGGCAGACTCCGCCCATAACACGGCTCTGGTGCGGGAGACGGCTTCCCAGAAGGCCCTTATCAGCCAATTGCAGCGCGACCTGAGCGCAAAGACCAAGCAGGCGCAGACCCGCATTGCCGAGCTTGAGGGTCAAATCCGGCAGCAGCGGGATAAAGCAAACGCCAAGCTGCAACAGGAACTGCGAGGGGTTGCCGAACGGTTGGAGAAGCTGGCACCAAAGGCGCCAACTGCAGAGGACGTCATTGCTTCTGCCGTCAAGGTATGAATCCTCTGTTGGTTGCAGCACATTTACAAGACTGATTGCTACACCTTGCCCTGTTTACACGGCTACCCACGTGCACCCTCAACACACGTTGTCCTAGGGCGAGAGTTTCCCCGTCTGTCTGTCAGCATTATTTCATTTATTTGGGCTCCCGGCTTATGCCTGCTAGTGTGCTGCCTGCATTACATGCTATATGCAGCAATCTACGGAAGGACAAACTGGGCTTGGAAGATGTCCACTGTGGCCGGCTTTAACACTGGAACGGTTTTTACTATGCCGGTCCGCGCCAAAACCTGCCTAATGGGTGGGGTATGATTACACGGGAAGGAATGCCCAAGCAATAAAGCTTGTACGGTTGGACGTATCATATACCCATATTCCCTTGCCTCTGTGACCCATGGGTCCGTCACACTTGTCCCCTGTAAGTTGTCAACATGTCCATATCGTGTTTTTGCCGATACCGCTCCACAGGACGACCAGCCGCCCCTGCATAAGGCGGTTGCGAGTAAACGCGCCGAAGCCTGCCGCATGCTGCTTCTATCGGGCGAAGATGTCCGCGCCCGTAATGAGGTGAAACAGCCAGATGCAATTCATGGTACATTGGGTCATGATGCACCATGATGGCTTGCGTCGCCGAACGCTAGCATTTTGACTTATCCTCTCCTTCTGTAAGGCACTGGTGCAACCGCGCAGGACGGGGATATGCCCCTGCACATTGCTGCGCGTTCTGGTAACGTGCAGCTGGTACGATACCTCTTGCTGGCTGGCGCCCCAGCGGGGGCCAAGGGGAAGGTCAGTGTGCAAAGGCCTGAGATGGCAGGAACCCCCCCCCCCCCCCCGGTCTTGGGTAGATTCATCAATACTAGGTCTGGGGCGGGAGTCCTCTGCTATGATAAGGATCGATGTGGTGAACCTGCCTGCTGCAGCCCTCCGTCTGCAAATGCACAAGCCATGCAGCTCCTTGCACACATGCAATTCACAGGTGCAAGCTATAGTACATTCCTCCCGTTTCACGGTACATACAGTTCCACCCTGGTAAGAGTTTCTCCCCGTGAAACTGCCTTGCAGTGGGGGTACCGGCCTCTGCATTACGCCGCTAAGAAGGGCAGTGCATCCATGGTCAGGCTGTTGCTGCTTGCCAACGCGCCTGAGCATGCGAAAACCGCGGTGAGCAAGGCTAGCGTCCATACGCTAAATGAGCGTGCTAAGTGAGCGTGCTCATGCGCTTAGGGCTCTGGACATAACCGTTTTGGGTGCAGACGTGCCCTCCTTCTCGGCCCCTGTTTTCCCTTTTGACGGTCCTTAGGATGCAGCAGCAAGTGCGTGCCGCCCATTGAACGTGTTCATACGTATTTGCCTCAATAATGCCCTAAATAACGATGAAACACTGCTATCCCGCATGCAGGACGGCCGCACGGCACTGGACCTGGTCGACCCAAACAATCACCATGTACGGCGTCTGCTGGGGGACGATCCGGATGATGATGAGCAAGAGGATGGGGAGGACGAGTACGACACTGACCATGACGGCAACTATGACGACGAGTAAAGGATTGCGACATGGAGGTGCGTACAGGCGTAGTAGGGCCGCGGCCAGCAGCCCAGGAGGCCTTCCGAGACTGCAGCTTACGGATGCAGCAGCGTTCACAGGTACTTGATCATCCCACTTGGTGGGATGCCTGGTGAGGGTTCTAACAGTAGTAGAAAGAAGGCATGGGAGGCAGCAGGCAGAGGCCAGGCCTGTTGATGGGGTATGTTGCAGTGTAGGGGATTGAGAAGGTGCGGCCGAAGAAAGGTGTTGACGGGGAAGCCAATGGGACCCTGGGTAAGGCGCATGTGGAGCTCATTTGGGTGCACTTGGGCCTGCTTGAGCATGGAGCATGGGACCGATGGGAGGTAGGAAGCGGCTTATTAAAAGATGCTCCTGGCTTGTAGCTTGTTAGAAGCATGTTGGTTGCTGCCCGCTATTAAGCCTGAGCAATCCTTGCTATGGTTATGTTTAGCCCGAAGACATCGTCGGGCAGTTGCCGGATTGGAACGGCGTCCATGTACATGGTGTTGTCGTGTGCAAACATCTGGACTGATGCTTGGCTCTTGCTCCTGCACTGGTAGGTTGCTGCCCTCCAGAGATTCGAACGCGATGTGGCGCGCGCGCGAGACCCTTGGGGCGTTAGCTATCGCAAAGCAGCCCTCCCATAATAATTCGTTTCAATCTATGCAATGCTTAATGCTAACGTTCTGGTGTAGAGCAGGCTGCGCTGTCTTGGACACTCTAATTTACTTGCGCTTTTAAGAACTTCCCGGAAACGTTTCCTGGCGAGATGCCTTTATCTGGTGAAGCCTGCTTAAAAACTGCAGCGGGAGGCGAGTCTCTTCCTGTGTATCAAGTACCGGTACGGCGACGTAGACTTTCTTTATGTTGTTGCTTTTCGCAGTCACATTAACAGTTTACTTGTATCCTTATATATCCGCCTTGTTGGGCACTTGTAAGAGACCAGCAGGCAGGATGCTGCTCAACAAGTATTGCGAATCGGTCTACCAGACCCAGCGCCGCCCAACGCGGACGATTATGGTGCGTTGCTTAGGACCTACGACTCTGAGTTGAATTACGTTGCACCCTTTGCTTAGCTTGCGGCGGCAGGGTGCCCATGCGGGCGTTAGAGTTCACCCGCAAGGAATGCCATAGCTGGCATATCCCCTGGGATTTCGACATAGATGTTGGGATAGAGGGTCTGCGCACCGATATTTGGTTATGTATCGCAGATCGGCAAGGTGCCGGTGGGCAGCTCGCACCGGATTGCTCTGCAGACCATGACGACCACGGACACCAGGAACGTCCAGGCGACTGTCGATCAGGTAGCTAGCGGCTCCCTTGCGGGCGGGGACGAACCGTAGATGCTTGGCGGTCTGCAAGTGTCGAACCTTGACGAGCATGACCGCGAAGGAGCTCTTCAGTTAGATTAACCCTTTGGAGATGCGATATTTGATGACGTACCTCATAATTAGGTGTAATCGTGCGATAAGATCTACGCTTTACGTCTTTGCTTTACGTCCACGTGTGTCCTGTCCCTCTTAGCTGTCATACCCAGATCCGGACCCCTCCATCCTGTGTTCCCCTGACTTCACTATCGCGCTTAACGTCTCATAGCTCGTTACGCCGAACTTCACAGATCGCCCGCTATGCCCTTTCACTCGGCTCGCTCCGCATTCACTGGCACTCCAACAGTCAAAACACCAACCCCCAAAAGCCCAGCCCCTTTGCTTACATGATCCAACCGACCCAAATCCCCACGCGTCTCTCCTTTCACCCCGCTAGACACCTTAACCCCAGCCTACCCCACCCCTCGCGCCTCTCCTGGGCCTCGTTTTGGCTTCTCTCTTGACCCCTCCCCCCTTTTGCACCACTCCCCGTCTCCCGTACCCCTCCATCAGGTCAAGAAGTGCGCGGACGCGGGTGCCGACATCGTCCGCATCACGGTGCAGGGCAAGCGGGAGGCGGAGGCGTGCATGCGCATTCGTGAGCAGCTGTTCAAGGACAGGTGGGGGGCTGGGCCGGGGTGGGGGGCATGGTAAAGGGGAAGGAGAAGGGACCGTTAGGGGGTAGAGGTTGGATAGGGAGGGCTAACCATGTGCTTAGCACAGGTGGGGGAGCATGGGGGCGTTTGGGGTGCGGCTGGGATGAACCTGATTTGGGTGTAGGGGTTCGGGGTTTGGCTACGAGGAGGACGTCGGGTAGTTGTTACTACAAGCCGGGGCTGCATGCGAGCAACGGGTGGACGGGAGGGTGCGTGGCATTGAGAGCTGGACAAACGATGAAGATAAACGTTGGTTTGCCGTGCGGGTATGTGTCGGGGGTGTCGGAGTTGCTGCCAGCAAGAAGGGACGTTAGGCGGAGCAGCGAGCAGCGGATGGCTCCCTGGCTTTCCTCCTTGCCTGCCCAACACGCCCCCTCCCCAACCTCCCTCCCATCCCCTCCACCCCCCCCCCACCCCACTCCCCAGGTACGACGTCCCGCTGGTCGCCGACATCCATTTCCAGCCCACTGTGGCCATGATGGTGGCGGAGGCGTTTGAGAAGGTGGGGGGCGGGAGGGGGAGGGGGAGGAGGGAGAGGGGGAGGAGGGGGAGGGGGAGGGCAGAGAAGGTCAGGGAAGGTGAGGGAGGGCTGGGAGAGGGGAAGCACCAGGACTGTGGAAAGGGGGCGCAATCGGGGGCTGAGATCCTCCTCCACCTCCGTCCCCCCCCTTGCTCCCTTACCTCACTTGCATGCACTCGTCAGGAGCCTTCCCCGCGGGCTGCCACTATCGGTACGAACCTGGTATTCTCCTCTTTCCCCTCCCTCCCTCCCTCCCTCCCTTATCACACCACACATTCTTTTTTCCCTCCCTCCCTCCCCTCCCTCCCTCCCTCCCCCTCCCTCCCCTACCTCCCCCTCCCGCTCACCCTCCCCTCCCCCCCCACTTTTATATAATCCCCCCCCCCATCAGATCCGTGTGAACCCGGGTAACTTTGTGGATGGACGCAAGAGCTTCGACGTCATCAACTACGATGACCCCAAGGTGGGGTGGGGGCAGAGCAGGGGGTCAGAGGGAAACCGAACCAATCTACGGGCCAGAGGAAACCGCAAGCTACGGCTTAGGGAGGGAAACACTGTAGGCCCGGGCTGGGCGGTAGCGGTACACTTTGTCTCACGCTTCCTGTCTTCCCCTCTCCACCTGCCTTTCCGCCCTACTCCGTCCTCCGCCCTCCCTGTCCCGGGCCCCTGTTAATAACTCTGCTATAAAACGTTCCCCCTGTACTACCCTCCTCGCCTCACTTCTCTCCCCCCGCGCAGGTGTTTGAGCGCGAGCGTGAGATGATCGAGGAGGGCTTCACGCCGCTGGTGCTCAAGTGCAAGGAGCTGGGCAGGGCGCTGCGCATCGGCACCAACCACGGCTCCCTCTCCGCGCGCATCCTGTCCTTCTACGGTGACACCCCACGGTGAGGGGGGCAGGGGGGCGGGGGGGAGGAGGGGCGGGAGGAGGCAGTAGGACTTGGGGGAAGGAGGCAGGGGGGCCGGGCGGAGGAGGAGGGGTCTTGTGGGTTGCGGGTGGTGGCTGGGGTACGTCTTTGACGAGGAGGCTCCTGATGCTGCGGTGGTGCCGGGCTTGAAGAAGACGGGACATGCACATGCCTCCTGCCCTCTCCGCTTCCGCCCTCCCTTACCCTCCCTCCCCCTCCTTACCCTCCCCTCTTCCCCCCCCCACCCCAGCGGCATGGTTGAGTCTGCGTTCGAGTTCGCAGAGGTGTGCCGCAAGCACGACTTCCACAACTTCCTGTTCTCCATGAAGGCCTCCAACCCGCTGGTCATGGTGTCCGCCTACCGGCTGCTGGCGGAGGAGATGTACGCCAAGGGCTGGGACTACCCGCTGCACCTGGGGGTCACGGGTGAGGGAGGAGTGGGGAGGGGAGGAGAGGGGGAGCGGGAGCGGAATACCGTGCATTGAGGGGGGGTGGAAGGTACGCTTACGCATAACCTTTGACGCTTTACTGTGTCCTGGTAGCCTGATATGGAAGATGTGACACCCCGAGGCGTGGGGCGGACCTCGCTGCCACGTTAACCACGCGCCTCTCACCCGCTCCCGCCTCCCCTACCCCGTGCACGCGTACCGCCCTGCCACAGAGGCCGGCGAGGGCGAGGACGGCCGCATGAAGAGCGCCGTCGGCATCGGCGCGCTGCTGATGGACGGTCTGGGCGACACCATCCGCGTCAGCCTCACGGAGGACCCCGAGTACGAGATCGACCCATGCAGGCGGCTGGCGGGGCTGGGCGAGCAGGCGTGCGCGGAGGTGAGGGCGGGAGAGGGGAGAGAAGAATACCACATGATCTTTGCAATGAGAATGGCAAACAGAAGGGTTGAGGGAAAATCATAAATGGGGAGTGAAGCAAGTGGAGTGCCAATCCCGTATCCCGGCTCTTGCGGTGGGCGCATATGAAGATGCGAGGGTGATGGGGTTGAAGGAAAGACCAGCGCTGCTGCTGGCAGTGTCGTACAGATTGCACACCCTGCCGTATAACCTCCGCCTCCTTCCCACCTCATTCCACCCTCCCTCCCTCCCTTCCTCACAGCGCCTGGGTGTGGCCCCCTTCACCGAGACCTCCCGCGACACGCACACCTTCAAGCGCCGCGAGGGTGCGCTGCCGCCCGCGCAGCAGCCCGGCGAGGACCTGGACTACCGCGGGGCGCTGCACCGGGACGGTACCGTGTTCTCCGCGGTCAGCCTGCAGGACCTGGCGGCGCCGGAGGTGGGGGAGGGGGGGATCAAAGACCATACCAAACCGTAGGAGACCACGAGTCTATGGGCGGGGGGGGGGGGTAAATAGGGAGGAGGTGGGAAGGATGGTAGGCAGGAAGAAACCACGGGTTCAGGAAGGGGTTGGAAAAGGAAGAATCCGAGTGTACGAGTTCACCGTTGCCCGCCCGTTAACCGTGACCACTGGTTGTGAGACCGTGCATTGACCTAGGTGGTGTGGGGGTCGTGCTTGCGGTTGAGTACGCGACGAGTCCCAGGTACCTCCTCCATCGTCACCTCCCTCCTCCCTCCCTCCTCCCTCCCTCCTCCCTCCCTCCTCCCTCCCCAGGCCCTGTACAAGCGGCTGGGTGCCAAGCTGGCTGTGGGGATGCCCTTCAAGGACATCGCCACGTCCGACTCCATCCTGCTGCGGGAGCTGCCTCCCGCGGCGGACAAGGAGGGCCGCAGGGCGCTCAGGAGGCTGCAGGTAGGCATGGGGGGGGGTTGTCATGGTAGGATGGGGATGGTGAGGGTGGTTAAGTACACATTTTGTCCGTATACCGTATCCACATGCGGCACTTTTGGTCACGTTCACCAACAACCGACAATCCCGACACCCTCTCTCCTCATGTCCCCAACCCAACCCTCCAACCCCTCACCCCCTCCCGCAGGAGGTGACCACCCACGTGATTGCCCCCCTGGAGGCGCTGGCCGCCGACCCCCTCCCTGGGGCCATCGCCCTGCTGCCGCTCAAGCAGGCGCTGCAGGGGCCACTCAGCCTGCCGCAGGTAAGGGGAGCGGGGAGCTGGGGGCTTGTGCGGGGTACCGTGGCTGGGGATGGCCATTGCACGCATCCCTCTCCATCTTCCTCCTCCTTCCCGCCGCCGCCTCACTAATGGACAGCTAATGCTGCAATGCTAATCTACCGTATTGTGGCATGCTACTACCTTACTTTTCCTACAACAGCTCACAGCCCGTTGCGACTAACCCCGTAAACTTCCCCCGGCCCCCAACCCCATCCACCTCCCCCCCTGCAGGGCATCACCCGCTGGGCTGCCGAGGTGGACGGCACCGAGAGCGAGGCGCAGCTGGCCTCCCTGGCCTCGCTGCCCTCCCCGCCGCTGGTGCTGCTGCTTCGCACCGCGGAGGGCGTCAGCCGGCTGCACGCCTCGCGCCGCGTGTTCGAGTGCCTGGCCAAGACCGGTGTGGACAGCCCGGTGGTGCACCACATCGAGTTCCCCGCGGGCACCTCGCGGGATGAGATCGTGATCAAGACGGGAGCCATGGTTGGAGGGCTGCTGGTGAGGAGGGAGTGGAGGGAGTGGAGGAGTGGGGGTGAAGAATAGGTAGATTGATGGTCCGTCTCCATGCACCTTTTACTAGCACAACCCTATCCGCACCTTTTCAACCCTGCCCAAAACAACCAACCCCGCCCGCGCATCCTCCCACCCTCCCAGTTTAGCTCGCATTGTTTTCACCACCATTTCGGCTCGACTCACGGTTGTTTCCACCGGGGATTGTTAGCTACTTGTATCATTATCACAACACACATTGGAATTTCTTTTTTCCCACCCTCCCAGGTGGACGGTCTGGGTGACGGCGCCATGATTGAGTGCCCCGGCGAGGACGTGGACTTCCTGCGCAGCACCGCCTTCGGTCTGCTGCAGGGTTGCCGCATGCGCAACACCAAGACCGAGTACGTCAGCTGCCCCTCCTGCGGCCGCACGCTGTTCAACCTGCAGGAGGTGACGGAGCAGATCAAGCAGCGCACCGGACACCTGCCGGGAGTGGCCATCGCCATCATGGGCTGCATCGTGAACGGACCGGGTGAGGGAAGGGGGAATGGGGGAGAGGCGAGATGTAGGGAATGGGGGCTGCAGGAGTGGGGTGAGGAGGAGGAGGGGCGGTGGTGTCAGGAGAACCGTGCTACGAGAGCTCCTCTGCTTGAAACCTGCAACCCACTCCCTTTTCGGTCCCCTCCTCCTCTTCTTATACGTACGTTGACCCCTCCTCCATTCTCTTCTCCAGGTGAGATGGCTGACGCTGACTTCGGCTACGTGGGCGGCAACCCGGGCAAGATCGACCTGTACGTGGGCAAGGAGGTGGTGCGCCGCGGCATCCCCATGGAGTCGGTGAGTGCGAGCGGGTCCTCTTTTAATAACGCCCGTATCCAGTGTTCGCATGGCTGTTCGTCTTCCTGTGTATAATCACTAACAATGCTTCTCTCTTTTGTCTTTTCCATGCCTCGACAACTCCCTCCTCCTGCCCCGCGTCTCTATCTCTTCTTCCTCCGACCCTCTCCTGCCTTCCTGCCCTAACTTTCCTGCCGTGCCGTGCCCATCCTGCCGTACCCGCCCTTCAGGCCTGCGACGAGCTGGTTGAGCTGATCAAGGAGCACGGCCGCTGGGTGGAGCCGCCCAGCCTGGAAGGCGAGGGGGAGCGCAAGGGGGAGCTGGTGGCGGCGGCGTGAAGGGGGTAGCATGCAACCTGCGCTTGATGCTGACCCTGCGGACAGCACACTTCGCTTCCCGTTTACGTGGGAGATGTGGCAGTGAAACCGGGGAATGAGTGGCCGGATGTGGATGCTGTTAGGGGGTGATGAGGCACAGTGGGGCGAGGTAGGAGAGGGAGGCACAGCCCTGTTCAAGTATGCGCGGGCCTGCCAGGTGCCCTGCGTTAAGGGTTGGCAGCAGCTGTGTGGTTCACGGTAACTCGGGTTACTCGGTTACGATGCTTGCTCTTGGTAGTCTCTTTTAACGGCCGGATGGGCCGGTTGGTTCGTCGGTAGCGCATTTATTGAAACGCCACGTCCAATCAATTGAGCCAAACAATTATATGTGTGTCGAGTACGGTTTTAGTCCGGCCGGACGGACCCATGGGACGGTGTTGCATGCCTCTGCATGCCTACGATCCGCCCCCATACCGTTGGGCTGGCCATTCGGTAGGCGGTATGAAGGAGGCCGGTCCGCAAGTGTTTACGGGGGGAGACTGAATGTTCTCGTCACCTTAACGGTGCAAACGGCTAGGAAGCCTAAGGTTATGATGACATGGTAGCCCGACGGGCCTCCGAATGTGGGGAGCTTCTGCTCGGTACTACCTGCGCGTGTGTTACGCGATTTACCGGCTAGTAGGACGACCGTGCTTGTGTTGGTGTGGCGGCGTTTTGAATGAACTTAGACAGACAGGCGGGGGACAAGTGGTCTGGTGGGACAAGCAGCCTCGGGTTTTTGTTACCGCTTGCCTTTCTAGTAGCAGGGTTGGTGTGGACTGAACGTTGGAGCGGTTGGGTATGCGCCAAGGGGCGCGGAGTGCATGCTGTATTGGAATAAAGCTGTACGATCGGGCTCTCTGCATGGCGCATGTGCCTGCATAAGGAGCCTTTGTTACAGCTGTACTCGGGCGCTTATGTTCTGTGTAACTAGGGGAAGAGATCTTCCCTTTATTCTGTAGATCTCTGTCGTGCGCCCCTGCGACATCTTATGAGATGCCCGATGGTATGGTAAGCCCATCATCCAAGGAGTCTATTAGGCTGCAGCATGGAGAGATGAAGATGAAGATGCGGATGCGTCAACTGCCCCAATTTATCATCATGGGTAGTACTCATCGAGGCTTTGCGCACCAGTAGGCTGCCATGATCAGTGCCAGGGAAGCAGGCAGATGAAGCATACGTCGGGAGGTCACATAGTGTAGCCCACCAAAAGATTTGCACAACCCTGCAAAACCCAAATGTTTGGGTTGCCCATAAGCATGGTCCGTACATGCCAAACATCATCAACTGCTCTGATTTCCAAGGTGCCAGCGTCGCCGGCAAGGGGAGTCAGTCTTCCATCCAGACATGGGGTGTCAGCGTCTCCAACAAGGGGTGCCAGTGGACATGGATACGCATGCCTCGCCAGTCCAGTGCTCGTCATGCGGTCCTGTCCTAAGCAAGGGATTACGCTTCCAGGAAGTTCCAGGGGGTTGTTAACGGCTTGCCTCGGGAATCTTAATCGAACTTGCCAACAATAAGTAGCATCTGTGCTGACTGCTGGTCAGCATAGTAGTACACACAACTTCGAGTGTTCTTCCTATCCCTTCAAGCGTAGCCGTCAAAGCAGGCTAAGAGAGGGTAAGTCAGTTTTGCTTATGCTCAGGAGAGAGATGCCCGTACGGCGCAACTTAAAGCAGGCGACCCTGATACTGCAGGCGATGCCACCGAAGAAGACCAACGTCAAGATGTCGACCGGAGCTCGGGCAGTGGTTGCAACCCTGTTTGGAAATGACAACTGGAGAGCCAAGAAGAAGACGGATGCTAAAGGGCGTCCTCATGGCAAGCACGGGCAGTTCCTGAATGACGTTGAGGCCAGCAAGCGAGTTGAGAAAAAGTAGCTGATACTTGATGCTTCGATATACACGGAAGCAGATATATAAGGGGTGAAGAAGGCGGAAGGCTTGTCCATGTTAAGCATTCCAACCATTCTCGGTCGGAGAATGCAAACCGGCGGTTAGGCGGTTAGGACTGCAGCAGGAGGACTGGGTGCAGTTGCACGTACAGCCTAGCGCTAGGGGAGGAGGGTGTATTCCCATGCATCGGCTTTATAAGTATATGAAGAGTGCGCTGTTGTAGCATTGTAACCTGGTTAAACGGCGACACGCAGACCTGCGGAAGCGGGGGCGGACTAAACGCTCAGGCACCTGGACGTGCGCATGTAACCATGTACAATAGTAGCAACGATGATGAAATTCTTCATTACTAGCCCAGCCGGTTGTCGTCTTGCATTGTAGGATTCCGTACTCAGCGTCAACCTTGACCTTAGAGCTATCCCGTCAGCAATCGCAACCGCAAATGGTGAATAAGCAAACATACTTGGTTCCACATCTTCTACAGAAGATGAACAATCCGCGGACATAGCTAGGAAGTGCCGTTGGGCTCGCTGCTGTTGTGACGGACAAGCCCTTGCGAAAGCATATAGTTGTAAATGAACGCCTGATGTTGCGCGTGCAATAGCCTTCCCAAGCGCCTGACCGCGGCTTGACAAGTCGCGGCTCACCGATCTTGCTGGAGCATCGGCCGTCGGTTACGCAATCGCGTATCAACCCCACCACCGTGCTTTGCCCTGCACAGCGTTAGTATCAGTGAAAATCCGCCCATACTAAGCAATGTATCCAAAATTTGCGCAAAGAAGCCCTGGCACCTTGGTGGCATTAGGAAATCGCCACCCAAAATTTTATGTCGATTATGTCTGACACAAAAACCATTTTGTTCACGTATAGCTGATTGTAGAATTATTGGAGAGCGGGCTGTCAGGGAGCATGTGCCGGCTTTGCCATTACGGGTCGCCAACACTGCTCTTTGGCGGCTTTGCAGCTGTCCTTGGCTCTTAAACTCTTTTATGGAAGTTTACTAAAAATGACATCAATATTTACCAGCGGCCGGTGCTCCGTGACCAATGCCAGGAGGATGTCCGAGCCGGAGTGCATCCCTTCCTGTTGTCACCATGCGGAAAGCAGCAAAGGGGAACTGAAGGGATGGTACGGAAGACACGTGGTTGGCGCGGCAGCTGGCCATATAAACAAGGCATGAGCAGTGGTGACTATTCTCCAATCTACCCTTCCTGCCCTAACCCTCCTGCCGTAACCGTCCTGCCGTGCCCGCCCCTCAGGCTTGCGACGAGCTGGTTGAGCTGATCAAGGAGCACGGCCGCTGGGTGGAGCCGCCCAGCCTGGAAGGCGAGGGGGAGCGCAAGGGGGAGCTGGTGGCGGCGGCGTGAAGGGGGTAGCATGCAACCTGCGCTTGATGCTGACCCTGCGGACAGCACACTTCGCTTCCCGTTTACGTGGGAGATGTGGCAGTGAAACCGGGGAATGAGTGGCCGGATGTGGATGCTGTTAGGGGGTGATGAGGCACAGTGGGGCGAGGTAGGAGAGGGCGGCACAGCCCTGTTCAAGTATGCGCGGGCCTGCCAGGTGCCCTGCGTTAAGGGTTGGCAGCAGCTGTGTGGTTCACGGTAACTCGGGTTACTCGGTTACTCATGCTTGCTCTTGGTAGTCTCTTTTAACGGCCGGATGGGCCGGTTGGTTCGTCGGTAGCGCGTTTATTGAAACGCCATGTCTGCCATGTCCAATGAATTGGGCCACGTACCTAAGTGTGTGTCGAGTAAGGTATTAGGCCGGCACGACGGACCCATGGGACGGTGTTGCATGCCTCCCCCCATACCGTTGGGCTGGCTATTCGGTAGGCGGTATGAATGGGTAGGCGGTAGAAAGGGAGGCCGGTCCGCAAGTGTTTACGCGGGTGGTAACGCAAGTGGTTACAAGGGGGAGACTGAATGTTCTCGTCACCTTAACGGTGCAAACGGCTAGGAAGCCTAAGGTTATGATGACATGGTAGCCCGACGGGCCTCCGAATGTGGGGAGCTTCTGCTCGGTACTACCTGCGCGTGTGTTACGCGATTTACCGGCTAGTAGGACGACCGTGCTTGTGTTGGTGTGGCGGCGTTTTGAATGAACTTAGACAGACAGGCGGGGGACAAGTGGTCTGGTGGGACAAGCAGCCTCGGGTTTTTGTTACCGCTTGCCTTTCTAGTAGCAGGGTTGGTGTGGACTGAACGTTGGAGCGGTTGGGTATGCGCCAAGGGGCGCGGAGTGCATGCTGTATTGGAATAAAGCTGTACGATCGGGCTCTCTGCATGGCGCATGTGCCTGCATAAGGAGCCTTTGTTACAGCTGTACTCGGGCGCTTATGTTCTGTGTAACTAGGGGAAGAGATCTTCCCTTTATTCTGTAGATCTCTGTCGTGCGCCCCTGCGACATCTTATGAGATGCCCGATGGTATGGTAAGCCCATCATCCAAGGAGTCTATTAGGCTGCAGCATGGAGAGATGAAGATGAAGATGCGGATGCGTCAACTGCCCCAATTTATCATCATGGGTAGTACTCATCGAGGCTTTGCGCACCAGTAGGCTGCCATGATCAGTGCCAGGGAAGCAGGCAGATGAAGCATACGTCGGGAGGTCACATAGTGTAGCCCACCAAAAGATTTGCACAACCCTGCAAAACCCAAATGTTTGGGTTGCCCATAAGCATGGTCCGTACATGCCAAACATCATCAACTGCTCTGATTTCCAAGGTGCCAGCGTCGCCGGCAAGGGGAGTCAGTCTTCCATCCAGACATGGGGTGTCAGCGTCTCCAACAAGGGGTGCCAGTGGACATGGATACGCATGCCTCGCCAGTCCAGTGCTCGTCATGCGGTCCTGTCCTAAGCAAGGGATTACGCTTCCAGGAAGTTCCAGGGGGTTGTTAACGGCTTGCCTCGGGAATCTTAATCGAACTTGCCTACAATAAGTAGCATCTGTGCTGACTGCTGGTCAGCATAGTAGTACACACAACTTCGAGTGTTCTTCCTATCCCTTCAAGCGTAGCCGTCAAAGCAGGCTAAGAGAGGGTAAGTCAGTTTTGCTTATGCTCAGGAGAGAGATGCCCGTACGGCGCAACTTAAAGCAGGCGACCCTGATACTGCAGGCGATGCCACCGAAGAAGACCAACGTCAAGATGTCGACCGGAGCTCGGGCAGTGGTTGCAACCCTGTTTGGAAATGACAACTGGAGAGCCAAGAAGAAGACGGATGCTAAAGGGCGTCCTCATGGCAAGCACGGGCAGTTCCTGAATGACGTTGAGGCCAGCAAGCGAGTTGAGAAAAAGTAGCTGATACTTGATGCTTCGATATACACGGAAGCAGATATATAAGGGGTGAAGAAGGCGGAAGGCTTGTCCATGTTAAGCATTCCAACCATTCTCGGTCGGAGAATGCAAACCGGCGGTTAGGCGGTTAGGACTGCAGCAGGAGGACTGGGTGCAGTTGCACGTACAGCCTAGCGCTAGGGGAGGAGGGTGTATTCCCATGCATCGGCTTTATAAGTATATGAAGAGTGCGCTGTTGTAGCATTGTAACCTGGTTAAACGGCGACACGCAGACCTGCGGAAGCGGGGGCGGACTAAACGCTCAGGCACCTGGACGTGCGCATGTAACCATGTACAATAGTAGCAACGATGATGAAATTCTTCATTACTAGCCCAGCCGGTTGTCGTCTTGCATTGTAGGATTCCGTACTCAGCGTCAACCTTGACCTTAGAGCTATCCCGTCAGCAATCGCAACCGCAAATGGTGAATAAGCAAACATACTTGGTTCCACATCTTCTACAGAAGATGAACAATCCGCGGACATAGCTAGGAAGTGCCGTTGGGCTCGCTGCTGTTGTGACGGACAAGCCCTTGCGAAAGCATATAGTTGTAAATGAACGCCTGATGTTGCGCGTGCAATAGCCTTCCCAAGCGCCTGACCGCGGCTTGACAAGTCGCGGCTCACCGATCTTGCTGGAGCATCGGCCGTCGGTTACGCAATCGCGTATCAACCCCACCACCGTGCTTTGCCCTGCACAGCGTTAGTATCAGTGAAAATCCGCCCATACTAAGCAATGTATCCAAAATTTGCGCAAAGAAGCCCTGGCACCTTGGTGGCATTAGGAAATCGCCACCCAAAATTTTATGTCGATTATGTCTGACACAAAAACCATTTTGTTCACGTATAGCTGATTGTAGAATTATTGGAGAGCGGGCTGTCAGGGAGCATGTGCCGGCTTTGCCATTACGGGTCGCCAACACTGCTCTTTGGCGGCTTTGCAGCTGTCCTTGGCTCTTAAACTCTTTTATGGAAGTTTACTAAAAATGACATCAATATTTACCAGCGGCCGGTGCTCCGTGACCAATGCCAGGAGGATGTCCGAGCCGGAGTGCATCCCTTCCTGTTGTCACCATGCGGAAAGCAGCAAAGGGGAACTGAAGGGATGGTACGGAAGACACGTGGTTGGCGCGGCAGCTGGCCATATAAACAAGGCATGAGCAGTGGTGACTATTCTCCAATCTACCCTTCCTGCCCTAACCCTCCTGCCGTAACCGTCCTGCCGTGCCCGCCCCTCAGGCTTGCGACGAGCTGGTTGAGCTGATCAAGGAGCACGGCCGCTGGGTGGAGCCGCCCAGCCTGGAAGGCGAGGGGGAGCGCAAGGGGGAGCTGGTGGCGGCGGCGTGAAGGGGGTAGCATGCAACCTGCGCTTGATGCTGACCCTGCGGACAGCACACTTCGCTTCCCGTTTACGTGGGAGATGTGGCAGTGAAACCGGGGAATGAGTGGCCGGATGTGGATGCTGTTAGGGGGTGATGAGGCACAGTGGGGCGAGGTAGGAGAGGGCGGCACAGCCCTGTTCAAGTATGCGCGGGCCTGCCAGGTGCCCTGCGTTAAGGGTTGGCAGCAGCTGTGTGGTTCACGGTAACTCGGGTTACTCGGTTACTCATGCTTGCTCTTGGTAGTCTCTTTTAACGGCCGGATGGGCCGGTTGGTTCGTCGGTAGCGCGTTTATTGAAACGCCATGTCTGCCATGTCCAATGAATTGGGCCACGTACCTAAGTGTGTGTCGGGTAAGGTATTAGGCCGGCACGACGGACCCATGGGACGGTGTCGCATGCCTCCCCCCATACCGTTGGGCTGGCTATTCGGTAGGCGGTATGAATGGGTAGGCGGTAGAAAGGGAGGCCGGTCCGCAAGTGTTTACGCGGGTGGTAACGCAAGTGGTTACAAGGGGGAGACTGAATGTTCTCGTCACCTTAACGGTGCAAACGGCTAGGAAGCCTAAGGTTATGATGACATGGTAGCCCGACGGGCCTCCGAATGTGGGGAGCTTCTGCTCGGTACTACCTGCGCGTGTGTTACGCGATTTACCGGCTAGTAGGACGACCGTGCTTGTGTTGGTGTGGCGGCGTTTTGAATGAACTTAGACAGACAGGCGGGGGACAAGTGGTCTGGTGGGACAAGCAGCCTCGGGTTTTTGTTACCGCTTGCCTTTCTAGTAGCAGGGTTGGTGTGGACTGAACGTTGGAGCGGTTGGGTATGCGCCAAGGGGCGCGGAGTGCATGCTGTATTGGAATAAAGCTGTACGATCGGGCTCTCTGCATGGCGCATGTGCCTGCATAAGGAGCCTTTGTTACAGCTGTACTCGGGCGCTTATGTTCTGTGTAACTAGGGGAAGAGATCTTCCCTTTATTCTGTAGATCTCTGTCGTGCGCCCCTGCGACATCTTATGAGATGCCCGATGGTATGGTAAGCCCATCATCCAAGGAGTCTATTAGGCTGCAGCATGGAGAGATGAAGATGAAGATGCGGATGCGTCAACTGCCCCAATTTATCATCATGGGTAGTACTCATCGAGGCTTTGCGCACCAGTAGGCTGCCATGATCAGTGCCAGGGAAGCAGGCAGATGAAGCATACGTCGGGAGGTCACATAGTGTAGCCCACCAAAAGATTTGCACAACCCTGCAAAACCCAAATGTTTGGGTTGCCCATAAGCATGGTCCGTACATGCCAAACATCATCAACTGCTCTGATTTCCAAGGTGCCAGCGTCGCCGGCAAGGGGAGTCAGTCTTCCATCCAGACATGGGGTGTCAGCGTCTCCAACAAGGGGTGCCAGTGGACATGGATACGCATGCCTCGCCAGTCCAGTGCTCGTCATGCGGTCCTGTCCTAAGCAAGGGATTACGCTTCCAGGAAGTTCCAGGGGGTTGTTAACGGCTTGCCTCGGGAATCTTAATCGAACTTGCCTACAATAAGTAGCATCTGTGCTGACTGCTGGTCAGCATAGTAGTACACACAACTTCGAGTGTTCTTCCTATCCCTTCAAGCGTAGCCGTCAAAGCAGGCTAAGAGAGGGTAAGTCAGTTTTGCTTATGCTCAGGAGAGAGATGCCCGTACGGCGCAACTTAAAGCAGGCGACCCTGATACTGCAGGCGATGCCACCGAAGAAGACCAACGTCAAGATGTCGACCGGAGCTCGGGCAGTGGTTGCAACCCTGTTTGGAAATGACAACTGGAGAGCCAAGAAGAAGACGGATGCTAAAGGGCGTCCTCATGGCAAGCACGGGCAGTTCCTGAATGACGTTGAGGCCAGCAAGCGAGTTGAGAAAAAGTAGCTGATACTTGATGCTTCGATATACACGGAAGCAGATATATAAGGGGTGAAGAAGGCGGAAGGCTTGTCCATGTTAAGCATTCCAACCATTCTCGGTCGGAGAATGCAAACCGGCGGTTAGGCGGTTAGGACTGCAGCAGGAGGACTGGGTGCAGTTGCACGTACAGCCTAGCGCTAGGGGAGGAGGGTGTATTCCCATGCATCGGCTTTATAAGTATATGAAGAGTGCGCTGTTGTAGCATTGTAACCTGGTTAAACGGCGACACGCAGACCTGCGGAAGCGGGGGCGGACTAAACGCTCAGGCACCTGGACGTGCGCATGTAACCATGTACAATAGTAGCAACGATGATGAAATTCTTCATTACTAGCCCAGCCGGTTGTCGTCTTGCATTGTAGGATTCCGTACTCAGCGTCAACCTTGACCTTAGAGCTATCCCGTCAGCAATCGCAACCGCAAATGGTGAATAAGCAAACATACTTGGTTCCACATCTTCTACAGAAGATGAACAATCCGCGGACATAGCTAGGAAGTGCCGTTGGGCTCGCTGCTGTTGTGACGGACAAGCCCTTGCGAAAGCATATAGTTGTAAATGAACGCCTGATGTTGCGCGTGCAATAGCCTTCCCAAGCGCCTGACCGCGGCTTGACAAGTCGCGGCTCACCGATCTTGCTGGAGCATCGGCCGTCGGTTACGCAATCGCGTATCAACCCCACCACCGTGCTTTGCCCTGCACAGCGTTAGTATCAGTGAAAATCCGCCCATACTAAGCAATGTATCCAAAATTTGCGCAAAGAAGCCCTGGCACCTTGGTGGCATTAGGAAATCGCCACCCAAAATTTTATGTCGATTATGTCTGACACAAAAACCATTTTGTTCACGTATAGCTGATTGTAGAATTATTGGAGAGCGGGCTGTCAGGGAGCATGTGCCGGCTTTGCCATTACGGGTCGCCAACACTGCTCTTTGGCGGCTTTGCAGCTGTCCTTGGCTCTTAAACTCTTTTATGGAAGTTTACTAAAAATGACATCAATATTTACCAGCGGCCGGTGCTCCGTGACCAATGCCAGGAGGATGTCCGAGCCGGAGTGCATCCCTTCCTGTTGTCACCATGCGGAAAGCAGCAAAGGGGAACTGAAGGGATGGTACGGAAGACACGTGGTTGGCGCGGCAGCTGGCCATATAAACAAGGCATGAGCAGTGGTGACTATTCTCCAATCTACCCTTCCTGCCCTAACCCTCCTGCCGTAACCGTCCTGCCGTGCCCGCCCCTCAGGCTTGCGACGAGCTGGTTGAGCTGATCAAGGAGCACGGCCGCTGGGTGGAGCCGCCCAGCCTGGAAGGCGAGGGGGAGCGCAAGGGGGAGCTGGTGGCGGCGGCGTGAAGGGGGTAGCATGCAACCTGCGCTTGATGCTGACCCTGCGGACAGCACACTTCGCTTCCCGTTTACGTGGGAGATGTGGCAGTGAAACCGGGGAATGAGTGGCCGGATGTGGATGCTGTTAGGGGGTGATGAGGCACAGTGGGGCGAGGTAGGAGAGGGCGGCACAGCCCTGTTCAAGTATGCGCGGGCCTGCCAGGTGCCCTGCGTTAAGGGTTGGCAGCAGCTGTGTGGTTCACGGTACTGTGTGGTTCACGGGTTACTCGGTTACTCATGCTTGCTCTTGGTAGTCTCTTTTAACGGCCGGATGGGCCGGTTGGTTCGTCGGTAGCGCGTTTATTGAAACGCCATGTCTGCCATGTCCAATGAATTGGGCCACGTACCTAAGTGTGTGTCGAGTAAGGTATTAGGCCGGCACGACGGACCCATGGGACGGTGTTGCATGCCTCCCCCCATACCGTTGGGCTGGCTATTCGGTAGGCGGTATGAATGGGTAGGCGGTAGAAAGGGAGGCCGGTCCGCAAGTGTTTACGCGGGTGGTAACGCAAGTGGTTACAAGGGGGAGACTGAATGTTCTCGTCACCTTCACGGTGCAAACGGCTAAGACGCCTAAGGTTATGATGACATGGTAGCCCGACGGGCCTCCGAATGTGGGGAGCTTCTGCTCGGTGCTATCTGCGCGTATGTTACGCAATATACAGGCTTGTAGGACGGCTGTGCTTGTGTTGGTGTGGCGGCGTTTTGAAAGATCAACTTAGATAGACAGGGTGGGGGGGGGCAAAGTGGTATGGTGAATGTTGAAGCGGCCTCGGGGTTTTGTTACCGCTTGCTTTTCTAGTGGCAGGGTTGGTGTAGGCTGAACATTGGAGCGGTTGGGTCTGCGCCAAGGCGCGCGGAGTGCATGTTGTGTTAAAACAAAGCTGTGCAACCGCGCTCTCTGCTTGGAGCACGTGCCTGCAGCTGTACTCAGCTGCTTCACTGGCATTGATGTGTAACTAGAGATAAGAGAGATCTTAGATCTTCACTGTACGGTTGTCGTACGCCCCTGCGACATCTTTAAGAGATGTCTGAGATGCAATTGTGAATACATCAATGAAGGGGTCTATCAGTTTGGTGCATGGAGAGATAGGATGCGTGGACTACTCAAAAGTTTAGTAGCCATCCAGGCTTTACGCACCTATAGACAGTCATTTCATTACCAGGGAATCAAGCTGAGGAAGCATATCTCGGGATTTTACATAGTGTAGCCCACCAAAGAATTTGCACAAGCTTGCAAAACCCAAATGTTCGGGTTGCCCATAAGCATGGTCCGTACATGCCAAACATCATCATAAGTCCTAACAAAAATGGTCACGCACCAGCGGTGGCGTTAACACACATCCTAAGATCTGCCTGGGTTGTTATGTGAGACAAGTCAGGGGAGAAACGTCTTTCGTCATAAGACATCGAAATGGATGCCAAACACACAAGGCTCACACACCACCATTTCAATACCAAAGCAAGGCCCCGCGCCGGCCTGCTATCGCAGTGCAAATACAAAAAAACACGGTTTACACATGCAAGATAAGTGTCAAGAAGAGCGAGGGGGTGTGGCTTGGCCCTTGCTCTCTCGCCGCCTACGAGCCTCACCGCCTGTGAAAAACACCTGCATATCGGACGCGGATTGGAATCGGCACCAAGCAATCCCCCCCTGGAACGAGAAAGGCCCTGCGCACGTAATCCGGCTTGCATCCTTCAAGTTATCTACCCGCTGCTACCCTTGAGTCGGATTAAGCACTGCTGCAGTGCCGATCCCTATCCCCAAGCCCCCATCCATCCTCCTAACACGCCCATTCCTTTTGAATACACCCATGCACATCGTACAAGCCATCATGCTGCCTACACCACTGCTATGGGAGCAGCGGTACCTGCCGAGACATGCCCTTAATAGTCAACGGAGGTGACCTTGGCGGTGTTCTGCGGCAGGAAGACCTTCCACCAGTTGGGAGTGTACCGCACGTAGGGGGCAGTCCAGTTAGCCGGGGGCTTGTACTCGGGAACGGTGCCGCCGACGGCCAGGACCTCGGCGTCAGACATGCCCTTCAGCTCAACCTTGAGGCAGCGGTCGATGCGCAGCTTCATGAACCTGAAGGAACGAAAGGTAGGGCGCAAACGGTGCTCAAAAGTTGAAATCTATTTAAATCTACGTGAACGGGAGAAAGATCTAGGATAGCTGCTGGTGGAGGAGAGTCGTGAAGGTCGCATGCGGTCGGTCGGTAAGCCCTAACAGTTGCATTTCAAGATCTTCGGGCCATAATACGACTGAGATGTTGCTATGATACAGGAACTGTGCAACTCACGTGATCCACTGCTTGTCGGTTGAAACGAGAGCGACGGAAGGCCGGTTAACCTTCTTGGCCACCTCCGGGAACTTGCTGAGCCAGGTCGGCTCGGGCACGATGAAGATATCGCAGTCGCGGTTGGTCTCCTTGTAGAAGCGCACGCGCTCCCTCAGCTGCTCAGCAATGTTGTCGTTGTGGGTATCCCCAAAGAAGAAATCGCAGCTGCAAACGATGGCCGACCACTCCTGCAGACCCAAGCACTAATTGGTCATCCTATTCATAGATACTCAGGTACAATGCAATTACGTGCCTTGGTCTGGGTGGTTTGCGCAGAGGGAGCGGACTGAGTGGCCGCAGCGGCCTGGACGACGATGTTCTTGCGGCTAATCTTGCTGACGTTGCTAGCGCGAGCAGCCACGGTCACAGGGCGTTGAGCAGTGAAAGGGCGAGCCACAGCACGGCTAACGTTGGCAACCGCGGCCTTGCGGCCGGTGGCGGTGCCGGTGGTGCGCTGAATACGCATGGTCTGGGCCATTTTGTGTCTGGTGTAAGCAAAGGTAGTACTAAGCTATAGTGCAAAGACACTAAACGCCAGAAGGCTAGATACCGGGTTTATAGTCGTGCAATCAAGATTTAATCTTTTTATTGATTCCGGCCCCGAAATGACCGTACGGTATCACGCCGAGGTACATCACAATGTACCCTCTTCGCAGATTGTACCACACGCAGCATGGAATACAGTCAAGGAGATCTATGCCCTTGGTGAAATAAAGCTCACACAGACTGTAAGATCCTACACTTTACCTTCGCTTGCTTGCCAAGTACGCAGTCCACTTACAACCTGTTGCAGCTACCTGATCAACGGCTCGTCTATTTGCTTGCATGCAATTGTCAAGCTTACCATATGCAGGGATCCAAAGCTCAGACCTCTATGCGCCCAATATGCCTCATACATGTTGCCTGCAAGCAAAAGAGACGCATGCTTATAGAATTCGCACTTTTTGTGCAAAGGCTAGTTGTATGGTAAGAAGCGGATGTTACACTGGAGGACAGGGCTTGCTTGCACGACTTGCTTACTCCGTCCCTAGGCTGCTTCTCATATTCCTGTTCCTGACAAACAGGCGACTTTATTTCAGTGTTTATACCCCCGAATAGCGCTTGCATGTGATCAACTTAAGATGTTGCGGGCATGGCTGTGGCTTTTGAGCTTTACTAGCTAACCTATCATTCCTACGGTGTTTCAAACCAAGCTGTCGAGTACAGGATATGACTGAAGTCTCAAAAGCCTCAACCCAACCGCAGGAAGAGCAGCTGGCGTGTCCTTCCAGTACCCATCCTTACCGGTCGCCTTCCGCGTTCTTCGAATCCTTCGACCGTGCACCAGCTGCGTGCACGAAACGGCCACGTCCATCGCTTAACCATGTAATATGCGCTTGCCTCGTTCGACTTAATTGCAAAATGCGAGCTCCGCCCCTACAACGTTTATGCTGAGCTTTACCCCTAACCCAAGAGCACAAACACCCTAGCCTATAGAATCGCGCAGTACAGCTTAGCATCAGCTATTCCTCCGCCTAACACTGATGCTGCTGTCGCTTTCCTCTCTGAACCACAACTTTCCACTGCCTCCTCGTCCGTATCCCAAAGCACGCACCCCACAACAGCACAGGTAGCTTGCCCCTAGGAAATACAGCTATGCAATCCAGAAGACTATCGCTCCTGATGCCGACGTCACCACCCCACGCCGTACAGCCCTTCAAGGCCCTCACCCGCACGCACAGCCCCTTAACAGAAACACATGCACAGCACTCATCAAAAGCATGCATGCCTTTCCCCATCCATCGGATCTGCAGGTACCGTACCCTCGGAGTCCACCCCCTAACCCCCGCCTTGCAGCACCACTAGTAGTTTAGTACCCCCTCGCAAAGTCGTCCAGTAGCGCCTGGTACGACGCATTCTCATCCCTCCCTCCCGCCGCCGCCCCCCGCCCGCCCGCCCCCGCCGCGCCTCCTCCTGCCCCGGCCGGCGCCTTCATCTTGGGGACCTGCACCCCCAGCAGCTCCGCCAGCTGGTCCCGCGCTGCCTTGGCGGCCTCCAGGTCCGCATCCCAGCAGGTGGCCAGCAGCAGGTCGGCGGCCTCCTCCGCTAGCTGCTCCAGGGGGGGTGGAGGAGGTGCTTGGGTGGAGGAGGAGATGGAGGTGGGGGGAGGAAGGGTGGAGGTGGAGGAGTCGAGGGCTAGGAGCTGCAGGTAGAGCTGCTCGGCGGTGTGCCGGCGGACCTGGGCGAGGAGAGGGAGGGGAAGACGAGGGGAAGACGGGAGTTAAGGAAGTGAGTTGGCTGCAAGGAGCCGTCTTCAATACCAGAGAGCGGGGAACGCACGGCACCACATTGCAGGACCAAGGCCCCGCAGCATACCCAGCCCCCATCACGGCTATCATAGACTTCGTAGTCCTTACAGCGAGAGATGCCATCGTAATGACAACACACCACCCCACCCCCCACCTTGGGGTAGCGGCTGCACAGCAGCACCATCAGCCCCTGCAGCGCCGACGTACGGCAGTGCCCCGGGTACGGCACCAGGTGGCACAGCAGCGAGGCGGCGTCCAGCAGCCTCCCCACATCGCTGCAGCCGCGGGTCTCGGCGCGCACTGCCTCCACTAGGTGGTCCGGGAACCGGGAAGTGGTGCTACTGCTGCTTGGGTTGCTGTTGTTGGCTGGAGAGTGGAAGTCCGAGGGGGCAGAGCTAGCGGGGGCGGCTGACGCCGCCGCCGCCGCCCCAGTCGCAGCCACCGCCTGCGGCGGTGGCGGTCGCGGAAGTGTTACCTCCTGCATCCCCGGAGCCTTGGTGAGCAGCAGGAGGGCGGTTCGGAGCAACGGAGTGGCCATGCGGGAGGACTTGGCGTGACGCGACCACACGTCCAACAAGTACCCCGCGACCGACGACAGCAGCGGAGGCGGCGACTGACTGCTCGCCTCCGCTCCGCCGCCGCCGCCGCCGCCACTGACGTCAGTATCCTGTTGCTTCGCCGCTAACGCCTCCAACAGAGCCTGCGAGGCAGCCTTGGCGAGGGATGAATCCACGCCGCCAATGCTGGCCACAAGGCCCTCCAGAATGGGTTCAGTGTACGGCGGTACGGCGAGCAGTCGTACGACAACGCGATGCAAGGCGTCGAGCGACGCCGCCACGCCGCCGGCGTCCGTCGCCGCGTCGGCGGCGGCCTCGGCGGCGGCGGCGACTCGGTCGGCGGCGGGGATGTACGGCAGGAGGGCGGTGTCAGCGAGGAGTGTACGAACGTGGCGTAGCGCGGATTCCCGTACTCGGCTGATGCGTTCTACGGACTGTCGGAGGAGCAGACCCATGACTCGACCGATGATGGCTGTGGGGGGGAGGAGGAGGGGGGGAACACAACATACAAGCATTGGAAGATCGGATACATGCATCGGCTTGGTGAGCGTAAGGGGCAGACACAGCGGACCCGTAAGAAAGAAGGAGAAAGGAAGAGAGGGTGCTGCCTGGAGGTCTTGGGGCGCTCCAGACCCCTACACACCACGCAAGCAAGCTACCGGCCATAGGTAAGTCCCACCTGTGAGTTCCTCCTGCTGCTGCTGCTGTTGTTGTTGTTGTTGCCCCGAGTCACCGCCCCCGCAGCACCTAGGCAGCAGCGCCGCCACCGCCGTCATTACCCGCATGGCCGCCTCCCGCACCCAGCTGCCCACATCGCCCCGGTTGTCGGTGGTGTAGTCCTCCAGGGAGGAGGTGAGGCAGGGCAGCACCTGGGGGGGGGGGTAGGGAAGGAGGAAGGGAGTGGCGGGGTGAGACAACCGTTGCATGCATGCACGGGTGCATCCTGTGAATGCGTACTCGTGCGATACATGCTGCTGCGACTAGTGATAAAATGCCGGGGAACGCCCAACTCACCACGTTTAGTGTTGTTTTTAACGTCCAGGGGATGTGGCTTTCGACTTTATGACAGCCATGCATGGCGTCCCAAGCAGTACGGCACCAACAACGCAAGTACGGCCGCATACCACAGCCTACCTTGTTCCTGAGCACTTCAGCAGCATGCGGGTTTGGACCCACAACGGCACCCGGAGCAGCACTGCCGACTGGTGCTGCCGGTGCTGGGGCGTCTTCTCCTCCTTCTCCGTTGCTGCCAACATCGCCATCCGCACTGTTGCTGACGTCAGCACTGCTGCTATCGCCAACGCTGCAACCGCCGCTAGCGCTGCCGTACATGGTCTCAATAAACATGCCTGTTGTAGTGGAGGGGGTAAAATATGGAAGGGAAGTGGAGGGGTAGTGTGTTGAGGCAGGAGCGGTAGAGAACAGAAGGACGTGAGTGTAGGGAACAAGGCAACCGGCTTGCTTTACACGCTGACCCAGCTATCCAGCCCAATGCGGAATATGTTTCCCCATCAATCCCACCTCTCCCTCCTCCCTCTCCCCCCCTGCTTCTCACCCAGCCCCCGCATGCAGTTCACCCGGCTCTCCACGTCCCGCTGCTCCGGGTCCTGTTCGGGCTGGCAGCCGTCTAGCAGCGCATGAAGGGCCTGAGGGCGGGGAGGGGAGCGGGGGAGGGAGGGGGAGGGGAGAGGAAGATTGGTGATACACAGGTGCTGCACACAGCCCATACACGTACACACCACCCCTTCCCTCGCACCATCCGCTGCACCATTCGCTTCCCTCCTCATTCATTATTCCCCCCTACCCTCCCAACGGGAAACCCGCCCTCCCCCCCCACCTTCTCCAACCCCCACGTTCCTACTCGCGGCCAGTTTTCTTAACACACACCTGCTCCTCCACCCCCTCCAGCAGCTCCCTGGGCAGCCCCCCCAGCGCCCGTCCGTAGCCCCTCCGCACCGCCACGTTGGGGTCGTGCAGGCGGGAGAGGTAGGCGGGCAGGTAGCGGCGCAGGAAGGAGGCGGCGGAGGGCGGGTGGGGCGACAGGTAGGACCTGTGGATATGTGGGAGGGGGGGGGAGAGGGGGGGGGAAGAGGGGAGGAGTGATGAGGTGTGAGGAGGAGCCTTTTGGAGCCCGCCTCTACCCGGGTCCCGTCCGGCTCAGCAGCAGCAGCAGGCAGCAGAGCAGTGAAAGCTCATAGCGAGGAAAGCGGTGTACCCCCTACCGCGACCCCTACCCACCCCACCCCCACCCCTACCTCGCATACGCCCTCAGTGCCGCCACCGCCGCTGCCTGGATGTAGGGCTGCGGGTGGCGCAGGTTCTCATCCAGGGACTGATGGGGGAAGGGGAGGAGGGCAGGGAGGGAGAAGCGTTGGGGACGTAGGGCAGGGGGCAGGCGGGGGCGAGAAGGGCATGAGAAAGGGCTGAAAGTGACAAGGCTCTTTACCGGTAGATTACCACCTCGACCTTATCCACCTCCATCCCCGCTTCTCCTCCATCCTCCCATCCACCGCCCTCCCCTCCCCTCCCCCCTCCTCTCACCTCCAGCACCTTGCCATGCTGCTCCTCGCTCATCCCCAGCCCCACCGCCGCCACCCCCGCCACCAGCCCGCACACCGCCTCCCGCATCACCTCGCCGCCCTTGCCGCGGTACAGCCGGGCGCGCTCGATGGCGGGCAGCAGGCCGGCGATGGAGGCAGCCAGGGCGGGGGGCAGCGGCCAGCAGGGGGAGGAGGTGGGGGAGGTAGCGCCCTCGGCTGGGGTGGTGGAGGAGGTGGTGGAGGAGGTGGGATCTGAGGAAGAGGTGGAGGCGGAAGAAGAGGATGCAGTGGCGGTTGCCGCCAGGGCGGGTAGGAGCTCCGCTATCATGACCACCGCACCGTGCCGCACCTGGGGGGGAGGAGGGAGGGGGGGGGGGGGGAGGGGGGGGGGGGGAAGACGAGGTGTTTCTGAGGCGGCATATACGAGCAGCGTGACGTACTGGTACTACTACGCGACAAGTCTGAGGGTTCACCCCCCTTACCCCCTTACCCCTCCCTCACCTCGCCCCCCTTCCCCTCCTACCCCTCACCTCCAGTTGCGCATCCAGGCACGCCGGCAGCAGCACCTCCAGCGCCTCCCCGCCCCAGTACCCGGGCAGGTGGGGCACCAGCGCCGCCGCCGCCCGGCCCGCCAGCTGCCGCAGCGCCTTCTCCCAGTGCCGGCTCTTGACGTGAACCAGGTGGGCGGACAGGGCGGGGGCGAGCTCGGGGGCCAGGCGGGCCACGGAGGGGGCAACACGCAGGTAGGCCTGCAGGGGGGAGAGTGGTGAGGGGGGGCATGGGGAGGAACATGAGGGGACTACATGAGTGGGGGGACTCGCAACGGGCTGTCAAAAAGGAAGAGGAGGAGAGGGAGAATCCGGAAGCCCGCCCCAGCCCTGGTTTGTGGAATCATATGGGTTGGTCTATCTTTGACTCTCCTCCCCTCCCCTCCACCACCACCCCACCCTCTCCTCCCCTCCTCCCTCCCCCACCCCACCCCCACCTGCTGTGTGATCCCCACACTGAAGTAGTCCGCCACCCCCAGCAGCTCTATCCCGTGCGGCAGCCCCCCCAGCCGCCCCACCGCCTCCTGGAACGCGGCGGCGGCGGCTCGCCTGCAGTTCACCTCGCGGTCGAAGCAGGCGGTGGTGAGCAGCGAGGAGGCGAGCGAGGGGAGGCTGTCGGACAGGAGCTGGGGGGGAGGGGGGAGAGGGAGGGGAAGAGGTGGATGGGATAGAAACCCTTAGAATCCAAATGGGGCTGCAGTGTTCAGGAGGAACAACCGTTCCCCTATTCTACCTCCTGTTCCCCGCATTCGCCTCCACTCATACTCGTCTCGTTTCCTCTTTCCCCGCCCCCCGCTCCCTGTCGCCCCCGGGCCCCGTCCCCCGCCACCTCTGCTCACCTCCGGCTCATACGCGCGCGCAAACGCCCAGCACACGTACGCCCCCGCGTCCCGCACGTGCGCCCCGATGCTGTGCGGCCCCCTCCGCACGTCGTAGCACAGCGCCGCCCGCAGCACCGGCAGCAGCGCAGGCAGGCGGGCGGGCAGCAGCAGACCCCGCCGGGCCAGCTCGGCTAGGGCCAGGCAGCCGCCGTGCCAGGCGGTGTCGGATTCTGGGGGGGTGGGGGAGGGGGAGGAAGGGAGTGAGAGGGGGGTTTGAGCGCGCAAGCTCTGGGCTTTCCTGATTAACCGGTAGCCTCTCCTAGATCTGCCATCCAGGGTTAGGCGAACCCTGCCGCTCCCAAGAGTTGAGAAGACACACCAAACCAAACCAGTCCAAGAGTCCAACCCAATCCAACCGCAATCCCCTAGCCGACCCCCCCTTCAAACCCCCGTCCCTCCCCCCCTCCAACCCATTCCTCCCCCCTCCCTACCCGTGGGTCCGAACAGCTGCATCACGCTGCCCACCACCTCGTCCCCCAGCTCCCGCGGCAGGCAGCCGGTCACCCGCCCCACCCCCTTGGCGCCGCTCCACCGCACCACCGTGTCACGGTCCCGCAGCGCCGCCAGCAGCGCCTCCACCACCTCCTCGATCTCAGCGGCGATCTCGATGGAGGCGTCCTCGTCCTCCTCACCATCGGCGTCCTGGGCTTCGGCGTCCTTGGCCTTTCCGTCGTTGTCTTGCGTGCTAGCAGCCGCACTGGCGGGCTGGCTGCTGCCGGCAGCTGCGTGCATGCAGGGGAGAGAGGAACTGCTAAGTGTGCATCGGTTGCCGTACGTGTTCGTGGCACGTCTCCCCGCCCTGGGGGGCCTTGTCAGGGGGTTGTCCCAGTGGCTGCTACAGCTTCCTCCCTGCCTCCAGCCTACCGCCCCGGGTTCTCCATCAGTATTCATAGTCACAGCTATGCTACAATCAACCCCGCCCCTCCCCCCCAAACCTGTGGTTTCCTATTGTTGGGTATGGTTGTTAAACCCCCTTCCACCGCCCCCTCCACCCCACCTCGCAATGTCTCATCCAGGCTTGCCCCGCCCCGCACGTAGCGCCAGGGGGCGGCACGGGGCGCCATGAAGGTCAGTCCGATGCGCGTCACCAGCTTCACAGACAGTTTGCGAGACAACACGTTGTTACCACCGCCGCCGCTGCTGCTAGAGTCCGAGGAGGAGGCTGCGAGTGACCCGTGGGTCGCCATGAGGCGGGTGGCTAGCGCCCAGGCGCGGGAGGCGAAGGGCAGCAGGCGGTCGCGCTGGCCGAGTTTGAAGGCGCAGCATAGGGCCTGCATGACGCCTGGGAGGCAGGAGGGGGCGAGGATGTGGAAGGAGGGTTCACGTGTGTCATGAGGAACCATGAGACAGGGCGAATGGGGTTGGGAAAGGGTGCAGAAAGGCATCCCTCCTTTAACCCTCACCCGTTTTCCAGATCGTCAGTTTTCTTTATTTATACCCCCTCACCCGGCAGCAGGAAGGGCGCCCTCAGCGGGTCCACCCCCGCCAGCGCCCCGGGGGCCCAGTCCAGGAACTCGGACATGGCCGGGGCCATGTCGGGGCGGGTGAGCAGCCGACCTAGCACCACTGCCGACATCTCGCGCACACCGCCTAGGGGTGGGGGTTCAAAGACAAGGCAGGGGTGGAGTGGGGTATAGAGGAGACAACTGGGGATGGCGAGGGGTGCTGGGTAAGACACAGAGAACAGCAGGAGGTGGAACGGTGTGTCAGAGCGATGGAGAAGGGGGCAGGCGAGGTGTTCGTTCATACACCGCCACGGGAGGCTACCGGTACCTGGGGGGTGGAGCGGGGAGGAAGGGAAGCAAGGCACGGAGAAACGGAGAACAGGATCTAGGGGTTGTTCATTCACCCCGCGGGAGGGACTGTTACCTGGGTGGTGCAGGTACTCCTTGCAGAGGGCCAGGATGCGGCCGACCAGGGGAGTGTACGGCAGGGTCCTGAGCGGTCAGTCGGCGGAGGGGAATTTGTTGGGGACGTGTAAACATAAATTAGTTCAAGAGGGGCGTCTCCTATTGGTGGCAGCATGTGTAGGGCATGCGCAAGGCAAGAGGACTGGTGTACGGGATGTCTGAGGGATGGATGCCTACGTAATGTGGGTCGCTGAGGCAGGCGGGCTAGTGCCTACCCGTACTTCGCGCCAGTAGCTGCGCTGTCCACCGTTGCTAGGTCGAATGGAATCAGGATGAGAATAGACAGCCAGAGCAGCAGCATGGTCTGCGCCTCCCACATGGCGATGCCCTCTTCATTATCCTTTGGTCGCTGCGCTTTGACGGTCTCAAGTATGTCCAGCACCCGTTCAAGGTCCGCGGCCTCGTGCGGGAAGAACCGTACAACGGTCTTGTAGCCGCGGACCACCACAAGCACATTTAGCAATCTGCATGTGCTCAGCACGCGCTGCACGCCTTGCTCCTGCTGCAACACCGCCTGCTTGCGCAGCAGGCTGGCCAGGGGCACAACGATACCCTCGAGGTATGCATCTAGCAACTGTGATTGCTCTTGGTACTTGTATAACTGCAAGCGAAGAGCATCCAGCTCAGACCGCGCGAACAACACCCTGTCATTCCGTAGCGCTTATGAACCTTACAATGGCTTTGTACCGATTATAGATCTGCTGTGCCTCCTTTCCATCGCTCTCAATAACTCTCTTAATAAGACTGTCGAGCTCCGCTGCCTCCTCAAAGAACGATTGCTCCTGCCCACAGATCTGATCGTCATCGCTTACTTCAGGCTCCATTTTAACCTGGCAGTTGTGACGAATGTAAGCTTCTGCGTTTGGGGTGCACGCTAAAACGTCAATCGTCGGGGCAGTTGGCCGACCTAAAGCTTGGATTTCATTAGTCCGTAAAAATAGATCACCTAATCTTCACCGTGAACAAGAAGTGATAGTCAGCATCAATGTCATTTCACTATCCCGCCATCGTACCGGTATTGCATGCCGTACATGCTATCTTTCGCTTTACCGCTCTCTGCTGAGCTAGGTAGGCAGCCTCTCTCTTTTCCATCAACCTCCTGCACCTACTGCCCCACCTCCTTCTACGACCATCGTGCGCACCGACAGCCCCCACATCCGCGGCCTCCTAGCGTCGACGAAACACCCTGAAGCTCTGGCCCTCTGCCCAGCTAACCGGTGCCCGCACCGCCACCAACTCCTCAAACGCACGCCGTCCCATACCTCCCCCATCCTCTCCCCCATCCCCATCCTCCTTTCCTGCCGCCATCCCCACATCCTCCTCCTCCCTCGCCTCCGCCAGCGCTGCCCCGCTGTACGACACACATAAGGCCCCCGAAGGCAGCTCACGTGCCAGCTTGGCTGCTGCTGCCGCCGCCAGCTGCGGGTCCCAGCACTGGTCCGCCATCAACACAAGGCCCGCGTTAGAGACGTTGTCGTACAGCAGGTCTCCGCAGGCGAAGCTGACGTGGCCCGTAGTAGCTCCTGGGGAAGTGAGGCAGGGAAGCAGCGGAGCGGTTATCTGTTATGGCGTAAAGCGCCTTGCACTGAGTGTCCAGGCATGCCAGTTACAACCACAACATCCTCACCAGGTGCCCTTAGGCAGGTCCTTAGGCAGACGCAGCTGTAAGGTAATTAGCAGTTGAAGAGAGCCGAAACACACTGTCGTGACCCACATGCTGACATCCACACTCACCCGCCTGCTGCTCCGCTCCCATCACCACCCCCGCCGCCACCTCCGCCGCCTGCTCCGCCACCGCATGCAGGCAGCCCAGCAGCTCCACCCCGCGGCTCGTCCAACCGTACGACAGAGCTCCGTACAACACCAACCAGCCGCAGGAGCTGCCCCACACCACGTACTCCCGAGCTGCAGCAGCAGCAGCAGCAGGCCCTGGCTCCGCATGGGGGCCGCTTGAGGCCGTGACCGCCTCGGCCGCGACGTTGGAAGCGCCATGCGTTGGGTGCAGACCGTCTGGGCTGGTATCTGTTGGAGGGAAGCTGCTGCTGCTGTTGCTGGGAGGAGGGGTCATGGCAGCTTGCAGCGCGGGGCCCGCAGCCATAATCACCTGGGAGAGGGATTAGAGGTTGGGGGAATAGGGCTTTGCAGTAAACGAGTAACGGGCATTCACCTTTACTGTAAGCTCCATGTGGGGTCCACCAGTTACGGCTAGTGCATGGCGAATATAACACATTCACAGACTTGTCGTACGGGTCACAGAAGCATTGGTTGATGGCAGGAAAGAACTAGGTGTGGCAGAGGTGTTAGGCAAGGTCGCTCTCACCTTGAGCCAGGAGCTGTACGGCGTGGAGCCGTACGCAAAATTATCGGTGCTGTACGACAGGGCACCCGTTGGCGCTGCGTCGCCGTTGTTGGCGGTTAGGGGGGCCGCAGGTTGTGAGTCGGGAGCACCGAACCTCCCCTGGGTAACTTCCGCTGTTAACCTGCAACACACCGTCAGTAAACCGTCGGGAAACGCATGGCTGAAGATCAGCGTCTTTACTTCCGCCACGCATCACATGTGCACAAAAGTGTCCATTACAGCCCTACTGGTAGCTTCCGCTTCCATGCAGAGGCTACTGCTGCCGACTTACTTCACATGGAAGTCCAGGCCCTGCTCTGCTTTCTCCAACAGCCGTACGACCGCCTCCAATGCATCGACTTGTACGGGAGAGCAAGCCGGTAAGCATGCTGCCGCCTCTCGTAGTGCTCGGACGTCCTCCTCAAGCTTAGCGGCCCGATGCTGCCGCACTTGAGCTGCTAGCTCCGAAGAACGACCTACGCGGGCGCAAGCATGACATCTGTGAGCATCCGTCGCGGCTCGCAGGATCTTACCGCAAGAAGCCGCGTATGGTAATAATATGTAATAAGTTTACTTTCTCAATTATCCTGGATTAGTCCCCTGCATATACTTGCGTGCATAAGCCAAATGCAAAGACACGTTAGATACCTTCCTCGAGCAGCTCCAATCTTGGAATCTCTTCGGCGAGATTCGTTAATATGCCTAAAAGTGTCGCTGCTGCGGATGCGGCTGCTTGCGCGTCGTCTAGTTGCTGACTCAGGAAGGCGCGAACCGCCCGATGGAGCGCTTCAAGCTGCTCTAGATATAAAGACAACGTTCTTGTAACCTTTACCCGCAGCGTTTGTGAAATGTCTGGGCTAGAGGCCTTGACGCGAAGGCCTGAGAGTTTGGAATGAAGGATTGCCACGGCATGTTTAGCGCAGAGGAAAACGTCTTCAGCTTCGATCGACTGCATAGTGGTAGGCCCTTTCTCCTAAGAATGATGTGCTTCAAAAGCGTTGTTACATACGCATGCGCAAAGCGCTTGGCAGGTGGCACACAACCGACCGCCATGACCGCCGTGACCCCGTGACTACAGTACTGGAGCCAGCCCGAAATATCCGTACGGATTTGAGTTTGATGGTAGCAGCTTGTACAAGAGCAAGCGACGGGTAGCAAATCCCTGTTAGCAGTTACCCAGCCTTGGCAACCGTTGGTGTTCAGCAGCATATTGAGAAACCCTCTTTGCGCTCCCGCACTCATGCATGGGGTCCACAGGGAAGGCGAGGTCTGCCCAACTGCACCTTTCAGTAGGTCTGCCTGCCCGGCCGTTGGACAACGCCGAAACACGGGTCATCGTTGTGTTTTAGGGGTGGTAGCAGATTACCCGTGGAGCTGCTCACGGGTTGCACGTTGGATCGTTCCTTGACACGACACCTCCTCTCCCTTCTGTTTGCCGTTTCCCCAAAACCAATAACAAAAGCCTTGACCCTTCACCGACGCGCTAAAAGCAATTAGATGGGGGTTTGCCTTGCACAGGACAATAGTGTTCCCAATGGCCTGTCAACGGGGGATGCTCCAAGCCATTTCCGACGGGAGCCTGGTTACTCTCGTCTTGGAGAAGAAGGCCAGTGTGTCGCAGGTAATGCTTTACCGGTATTTGGGGAGCTGTGCACCTGCAGTTGCGATTCGCGTAAACGATGCACGCCCAGCCCCAAGCCCAAGCACGCCAGGCTTATAATCCAGTGCAGTTACTTACGTTGCCATTTCTAGCCCTGCACGTTGTGCCCTTCCCAGCCAAAGCCGCTCCGGTGCTGCATTCACAAGGAATTTGCCCGTTTACACATGCAGCACTGCACCAGCCCTTCCATCCTATACCTGCTCCCAACTGCACTCCCCTGTTAACGGCCCCGCAGTCCGTGTCCTTCTGCCTGGACGTGTTGGGCCTGGGCACCAGCAGCGCCTCCGAGCAGGCTGCTGCGGCCCGGGCGCTGACGCAGGTGTGCAGCCACCGCAAGCTGCGGCCCGCGGTGGACAACCTGCTGGTGCTGCGGAGGCTGAGCCGCATCATAGAGCTCACAGACTCCGCGGCGGCGCTGGCGGCGGCGGCGGAGGCGCTGTTTGCGGTGGCTGACGAGGACGCATGGCAGAGCAAGGTGGGTTGGGTGGGGGGTTTGGGTCCGAGGGTGGCCAGTGCTGATTACCGGTACAATGACTAGATGGCATGTTGGAGGTAGGGAGGGATTCGGGCTCAGGGACAGGGGCTCTGTGCCATGGGGACGGGTTGCTGACGCTGGGCATGTCTTCAGCCGCGCCGAAACCATGCAGGATCCGTCACAGCAAACGAATGATAGACTCGTGCTGTTGGGTTCCGCCATCGCGCCATTTGCGAGAGCACTTACCTGAGCCACAACTTACTGTGACCCCGCTCCCTCCTGCCCATGCTTGCTTTGCACCAGCAGGGCAGCTACCTCTCTGACGTCCTGCACGAGGCCCTGAGCCGCTGCGTCAGCACCCTCAGCAACACCGCCGAGGCGCTGCGCAGTGCCGCCGCCACCAGCCCGCCCGACGTTGCGGAACTGGCGGAGCTAGGCGCCCTGGGCGCTGCCGCCGCCGCCATGCTTCGGCCCCAAGTCCTGCACCTGCTGTCCACAGACGAGCTGGTCAAGGCTGCAGAGGCACTGGCGGGTTGCCTGGTCGCCTTCGACGCTGCTGCGTATGAGAAGGAGGAGGGGAGCAGCCGCATCCTCGAGGCGCTATCCGCAGTGCTGCAGGCTGGCAAGGGTGAGAAGACCCGTGGGTCGGTGGCAGCTGCAGCAGTCGAGGATGGGGCGGTGGGTCCCTTGGTTCGCGCCTTAGCTGTTGAGATGAAGGTATCCTCTTTGGACACTGCATCACCTGCACCACCGCCCAGCCTGCATGGGAAGGGCTCCAGCGGCGGCGGCAGCAGCAGCGCTCCTATCCAGCTCACGCCCGCTGGCAAGGCAGCTTTCATGGGCTTGACGGAACTGCTGGTGGCATGCGAGAACGCAAAGCTGGCTGAGGCAAGCAGCGCAGCCAAGATGGCGGCAGAAGCCGGCGCTGCCCAGCTGTTTGGTCTGCTGCTACAGCTGCAGCCCGTGGCGGATGCCGGCCGCGCGCTGCATGCCCTGCTGGTCATGGCTCACCACGACTTCACCCTAATCTCAGATCAGCATGCGGGAGCAACGAGCTCAGCAGCCATGGCTCGAGCAGCTGATTGGCTGCTGCGTAACTCTGGCAGCCGCTTGGATGCCGCAGGTGGCTGCGCCGCCGCCCTTCTGGAGCTCTTTGCGTTTCACATCGGCAAGGGCTTCATAACCGTGGAGGAACTCGTGCGGCTGGCGCCGGGGGTTCCGGAGGCGGCATTCGGCGTGCTCAAGGGCGACCCACCCGGTCCCACCTGGTGTGCATTCGCCGCGATCACGGTGCAGCGCGTCTGTGGAACGGAGGTGCACCTTGCGGCTGTCGCGAAGAGTGCGGCTGAGCTGACCTCTCGCGTCCTGGCATGGGTAACAAACTCGCAACTGGTTCCCTGCCCCCAATGGCTGCCTGCGGAGGCTCTGGCTAGGTCACTGCTGGCGCGGCTGATGGAGGGGCCCCCTATTGGCGTCGACAGCAGCCCGGGTGGATTCGAGGAGCTGGGTGACGCAGGCGCCGAGTGCCTGATGCGGGGCCTGCTGCTGGCCTCACCGTTCACCTGGAAGGATAGCGGGTGTGTGCGCTGAGGGTCTAGTGAACCTACTGGTGGTGATGTGCTGGTGCGGATGTTGGGATTTGGCTCTGAACTGGGTTCCTTTGTTGGCCCCGTGGGGATGCAGGCCCAGCCCACATGCGTTAGAATGAAGCATACACCTGCTGAACCGCCTTCCTGAACAGACATCGTTC